GTGCCATCGACCTAAGCCAATCCCATGCTATTCCTACCCGCCCAACTCTATCGCAAGCACCCCCCCACAACCTATCCCATAGCACCACAACTACAGCTCCAAACCCCTACCCCACAAAAGCTGAACACTGCAATATCTCCACTCTATATATAGAGGGATGGCCTTTATTTGTCTGTTTTGACAAATAAACCTTTGTGTGGATCTCTGCCTGGTCTTTCATTTCTCGCTCGCCTTCTCACTTTGTTTTCAAAAACATGAATCAGACACAAACCTTTTCTTTAGTATGCTTATTACCGTAGGTAAGAAAAGACACATAAACAGTTATAAATAGGATTGTGACTTAGCAGTAGGTAGAGAACTCGCCTAGCATGTGTGCACCACATAAAAATAAATAATAAAATAAAGATATTGTGTCCAACTACAACTTAAAAATAAATATAAAAAATTATAAATAAATATTTAGAGCAGTTTGACATCTTCACAGAGTGACAAATTTCAGAATGTAGAGGTTACTTTTAACTAGAAGGAAAAGAAGACTTCATGGAGATAGCATTTACAGACCTAAGAAATGAATGAGGTTTGGAAGTAAAATGAGAAAATCATTCCACCAGGAGTGAATTGTGTAAACCCAATTGTAGTTGTTTTTGCATTATCATGAGAAACTAATGTGGCTCCATTTTTTAAAATAAATAAATAACAGCAGCTTCTACCTCAAGGCCTGTCCTAAGGAAGGGGGCGTGACCCTTGTCCTTGGAAAAACCCACAGAGCACTCCTAAGTACATACCCACCCTGCTGAGTTGTTTGTCTGTAAATAACAGGAGAGGTCTGTGGCACCAGGTGTCCCTGGCTCAGGCTTAGTGGGAACCCATAGCAACACCCCTAGCAACCTCCAATCAGCATAAGACAGGGAAAATACCTGGGATGCCAGATGACCCCCAAGTAGTTTATGGTGGTTGATAACATGTTGGGAAACCATGTAGTTTAGCACATACACCCCTCGTGGCCTAAACCAATCAGTTCAAACGAACCCCCCTCTTGTACTAGACAATCACCTCTACCCAACTTGTTCCCGCCAGTGAATGTGCTAATCAATGTTAAGAGGAGTTGTTTGACTTTCCTGCAGTATGGAATGATTTGCTGTGTGATGTTGTGATGCATAGAGTGTCCCCCTATAAAATCTCACTGAACAAAGGACCAGGTCTCACTCCCTGGGACCACTGCTTCAGGAATGGTTGTGAGTCCAGGCTCCAGCTTGCAATAAAGACTCTTGTGTGATTGCATCGGATTCGGCTCCTGGAGGTCTATTGGGGTCCCACGAATCTGGCATAACAATCACATACCCCAGATTTGTATACCTATGGTTAGAAAGTAAGGTCAGGAGTGGGACTTTGAGTCTACTTGAATACCAGGTTAAATATCTGTAACTGTGCCTCTCTTTAACGGTTACAAATTAATCAAATTATACTGACTTATCCTTTTATTGGTTGCCTCAATTTTCCATAAGAGCAAATAGGAATGCCTAATATGAAAGACTGAAAATTTATACTGAGATGGGCTGACCTAGGAATCAAATTCTCCCAATAGATATGGTCCAAGGGCTACTTATTCTCTGACTTAAACAGATGAAGTCTGGATCCACTAAATATATGGCAGATTCCTGCAGAATTTATGGAAGCAGCTAATTTATTGGAACAGTTTTATCAAAGGTAAGTATTTAGTCAATAGATGTATTAAGTGCCCAATATATGTAAAGCAGGATGATGATACAAAAGATATATAACATTATCTCTCCCCTCATAAGAAGGCACTAGTTACTAAGCATATAAAAAGTTGTAAAATAGGAGCTAAGGATGTAGCTCAGTAGTGTGGCATTTGCCTGAGTTCAATCCATAGCATGCACACACACACACACACAGATACCCCATAAATGTATAAAATATAGAGCCAGAAGCCATACAAGCTCTTGAGAATGAAAAAAAGTAATATTATTCCACATTCAAAGGAGAACAAGAACTCTTTCTTCTCCTGGAAGTGAGAAAAGCCTTTATGGATGAGAGGGCATGTGTTTATAATATAGGAAAATCAGTGGAATTAGCCATTCTTTTTTTTCTGGTGTGGAGATGGAACGGAGGGCCTCTGCACATGCTAGGCAAATGCTCTATTGCTGAGCCTATAAGCAATGATTTTGAAGCTTGAAGCTTGGCTCATTTCATATACTGGCTGACACTTCTGTTTAAACTCTGATCTTCAGGTTAATTAGCTGTGAGCACCATAGTTTTTGGGTAATCAGTGGGCCAATTTGCCGCAGTCTGGCTGGGCACAATTCACAAGCCACTTATCAAGCAGAAATGAACTTTATTTTTAGAACACACCCAGCACCATAGGAGCTCTTCAGGAATTCCCTCAGAGCCCATCTGCCACCACCAGCTTGTGGAGAGCCTCTCCACCCCCCACTCCTCCCACTCTTGAGGCCGATTGGCTGGGTCGCAAGGATGGAGCCAAAGAGTCCCCCAATGAGCAGCTCCGTGGTCTGAAAGGGCAGGGAAACAGCCCAATGAGCATCACCACAGAGGAGCCAATCAGCTGGCAGCTGGAAGTTTGCTGGGGCCCCTTCGGGAGTGGCTCTCGATACCATTTCTTCTGTTCACCACCCCCATATATACCCTACCCCCACCAATCAGCAGATTATAAAGTATAGCTGGGCACCAATATAAAACTATATATCTTGTTTTGGGGTTTTTTCAGTACTGGGGATTCCCAGTGCCTGGTGCATGCCATCCTTTTTATTTCCTTTTTTTTAAAGACAGGGTCTCGGGCTGTGGCTCAGCGGTAGAGCGCTCGCCTAGCACATGCAAGGCCCTGGGTTCGATCCTTAGTACCACATAAAAATAAATAAACAAAATAAAGGTATTGTGTACAACTAAAAAAATAAATTTAAAAAAAAAAAGACAGGGTCTCATGAACTTGCAGGACTTTCAATCCTCCTAACTCAACCTCCAGGGTGGGGATTACAGGCATGCACCCACAAGCCCAGTTTAAATTGTGCTTTCAAATTCTCACTGTTACATTTCATGTTCCTCAGTGCAGTTTGAGGGCATCAGGCTACTACTCAGTCTTCTACAAAAACTACTTTCTGTTTAAAGAAATGGAAGATAAACCAGGAGTCGAATGTGGAAAGAACCCTCTCTTCAATTTCTAGGACTGGTAAGGGTCCTCTCTCATTCTCTATTCTCCACCATTCTTCTTTGCATCCTCCTCTTTTGTTACTTGCCCTTTCTCTTATTCATTTCCTTTAATCTGACCCCATCATTTTTTATTTGGTACTGGGGACTGAGTCCAGGGACACTTAGCCACTGAGCCACATCCCCAGTCCTTTTAACTTTTAAGTTTTGGGACAGGGTCTCACTAAATTGTTTAGAGCCTCCCCAAGTTGCTGGCTTTGAAATTGTGATCCTTCTGCCTCTGTCTCCCCAGGCACTGGGATTACAGGTGTGGACCACCATACAGGGCTTCTTTTTTTATTTTTGAGATGGGGGTCTCTCTGTCTTGCCCCAGCTGGCCTCAAACTTCTGAACACAAGCAACCTCCTGCCTTAGTCCCCCAGTAGCCTGGCCTACAGGGCTCATGACACCACATTCTGCTTGCCTCCGTCTTCTTGCCATCACTTAATTCATCAAACTGAAGGTAGCATGAGGACTAAAGTTAAGCCTTGAAACAGATTTCTCAAATAGGATATTTACTTGTGAAATACTCTGTCTCAGGGAGTATTAACTTACTCCCAGAGCAATGTTTTTGTAGAAAACAAAAACAAAACTAGTTATCCTCCCAAGACTGCTATAATCATCACAATAAATAAAGCTTTTATGCTGAGGAGACTTTTTTGCATGAGTCAAAGAAAGTTCAACTACACAAGGCCACATTCAAAATATAAAAAAAAACTAATTTCACTACCTTCTCAAGTACTGATTCCAAAAGACCTCCATAAACCTACCTGCACTCCTGTAATCCCAGCGAACCTGAGGCAGGAACATCACAAATTTGAGGCCAGCCTCAGCAACTTAGAAAAATAAATATTATTATTTTTAAAAAGGGCTGGAGCCAGGAGTGGTGGCATAGGCCTGTAATCCCGGCGGTTCAGGAAGCTGAGACAGACGATTGCAAGTTGCAAGTTCAAGGTCAGCTCAACAATTTAGCAAGGCTCTGAGCAGTTTAATTAAAACCTGTCTCAAAAAATAAGAAAGGGGCCGGCGCAGGGGAACACGCCTGTAATCCCAGTAGCTCAGGAGGCTGAGACAGGAGGATGGTGGTTCAAAGCCAGCCTCAGCAATGGCGAGGTGCTAAGCAACTCAGGGAGACCCTGTCTCTAAATAAAATACAAAATAGGGCTGGGTATGAGGCTTGAAGTCAAGTGCCCCTAAGCTCAATCCCTGGCACGAAAAATAAATTTAAAAAATTTTAAAAAGGGCTGGGGAGGTGGCTCAGTGTTTGAACACTCCTGGGTTCAATTACTGGTACCAAAAATAAAAAGGGCTGGGTTTAATCCCCATAACCTAAAAAAAAAAAAAAAAAAAAAAAAGAGTAACTGAAAAGTAAATGCGTTAACTTTGCTTCAAGAGATGCCCATTTGTAGCATGTATGTGTATCCTATAACACCATATTGTAAATCCACGGAGCTACTGGAATGATCGAATGAAAGAATTACCTACATTAAAGTCTTTCATGAACTTTAAGATGTTATTACTGTTACTGAAAGGGAAGAGAGTGTGTAACAATAAACTTGTCTAGAGCCAGAGGTGCAAGTTTCTAAAACTACGAACAACACAATGTCGCTCTCCAAGGAGGAAAGACTGCAGCAGGCGCAGAGAACACACACTCACGCCCTCCCTAGTAGGCGGTGCACGCAACACGCCTCTCCCAGGAGGCCGCGGTGCTCCAGAGCGCAGGCGCGGAGCCAGACAGCGCGAGCTGAGGGCGGTGTCTTGGGGGCCGCAGCTTTCCCTGGCCCCGCCCCTGTCGAACGTCTTCGTGGGGTCGCCCTGGAAATGCATTCGCAAGAACAGACTGGGGCCAATGGGAAGGGAGCGAGTTCCATGAATGGACCAATAAGGAGGGAGCGGTGCGGGGTTTAAACCCGAGCGGGCCGGCTCCTCCCGGCGTGCTGCAGAGGAACGGCTGTTTATCTGTGCTGGGGTCAGGTCTTTAGTTAGTCCGAGAATCCGGTGTTCCCGTTGCTGCTTCTGCCAACTGAGCCGCTGCCTGGTGAAGAGAAAGCCATGGCGCTCCGAGTCACCAGGGTGAGCCGTTGCGGACCGTGAAAAAACGCGGTCTTCCTTGCTCCGGGCTTCCTGCCTTGACTCACCTGCGGGATTCCCCGGAACCCGAGAGGACCGTGGCTACTACGGGGGCAGTATGGGAAAGGGGTTACCGGGAGAGAACTGAGCTGGGCCTCCGGCGAGCTGGGGGACTTTTGGGGATGAAGGAAGGTGAGAAAAAATTGAACGGATCTTGGATATAGACCTTGAGAGTAGGTGGAGGAGGATCAACGGGAAACCTTTTTAAAAAAGCAATGGAGGACCCCTGAGTAAGCCCCCCACCAACAGCGTAAACCTTTTCCCAGAGCAGTATCTGTACTTGAATACCCCTTTCGACTGTAATTCACGGGGCTAAGCGGGGACTAAAGAGGTAATCCCGCAATAGATGAATGAAGAGTTTCTGGGAAGAAAATGACTGCTGAGGCCTTAGCGCCTGGAACCACGTCTCTCCTTAGAACCCATTTGCAGCCAGCTTTCCTTCTCAATTGTGTCCACCTTAATTAACCCTTGACTTACTCGAGCCTCCCTGAACCAGCCGTCAAAAGTGCTCTTTCTTCTTTCAGAACACGAAAATTAATGCTGACAATAAGACCAAGATTAGTATGGCAGGGGCAAAGCGTGTGCCTGTGGCCACTGTTGCAGCCTCCAAGCCTGGGCTGAGGCCAAGAACAGCTCTTGGAGACATTGGTAATAAAGTCAGTGAACAGCTGCAGACCAGAGTGCTTCTGAAAAAGGTAACTATCTTCCTCACCCAACTTCCCTGAAGAGCCCACATTCCAGCTGTGACCCTTGATAGAGAAACATTCCATTCTCTCTCTTTCATCCACAGGAAGCAAAACCATCAGCTACTGGAAAAGTTATTGCTAAAAAACTATCAAAACCTTTGGAAAAGGCACCCGTGTGTGTGCCAGAGCCAGAGCCTGAGCCTGAGCCTGAGCCTGAACCTGAGCCTGAACCTGTCAAGGAAGAAAAACTTTCGCCTGAACCTATTTTGGTAAACTTACTCTTTATTGAGTGCTTAGCATAGGGCAAGCCCTGCTAAACACTTTATGTGCATTAACTCACATAATCTTTATTTACTCTCAGGGATAGGTATTATTTCTACTTTTTGGATAATGGCTAAAAGAAATTAAATGATGGTCAATATGAAATTTAAGCCCTTGCTGTAGCTTCAAAACCTCGGCTTTTTTTTTTAGTTGTCAATGGACCTTTATTTTATTTAATATATGTGGTGCTGAGAATTGAACCCAGTGCCTCACATATGCTAGGCAGCGCCTCTTGCACTGAGCTACGACCCCAGCTCAGAATCTTGGCTTTTAATTGTTTTCTTATATTATCCCCTTTTTAAATGATATTAAACAGTAGATGCCTGAAACTTTTTGTCTAAGTACAGGCCAATACTATCCAAAATTCATTGGCTGAAACAATATTTTCTTGAAAAGAATTGTCTGTGATGTTGGAGTATAAAAAGGAGTGGAAAAGAATATATATATCTCCTCCAAAGAGTGAAGAAGAAAATGGATTAACAGTCTAAAACTAAGAACTTTTTGGCTAGGAAAGTAGTTAGCTGATAGAGCATTTGCTTAGCATGCATGAGGCCTTGGGTCCAGTACCCACAGCACCAAAACATACAACCAACCAAAGATGCCCAATAATTAACTTTTTCTTTCTGTTTTTTAAAGTCCTATACTGATTAAGGGTCTCACTAAGTTGCACAAGACTGGCTTTCTTTAAACTTGTGATTTTACTCCTCAGCCTCCCAAATAGCTGGGATCACAGGCCTGTGCAACCTCACCTGGCCCCATACTGTTTCTTGCCTTTGATTCCCCCTTTAAGAATGCCTTTCCCATCCTCTGTCTCATTTAGCAAATAACCTTTTTGTTTTTCTCAAAACAGCTCAAGCATCAGCTCCTGAAACTTCCCCTAATTTCCCCACCCTTTTCTCTGTTCCCACAATCAATCTCATGAGTTTCTTTACTATGTCTCTACTAAATTTAAAGCCTCTTAAGGATGCTATGAGGCAATTCCTAGCACAGTTTGACTTGAAGAAGGTGCTCAATAAATATTTGAACAGTGTGGTAAAAGGAGCATAAAGGAAATGGTTAATGGTAATAAAGTCAGTTAATCCTTGGTACTCAGGACAGAACTTACATTTTCCTGAGTAGTGAAGCAATTCCCGTTTTGAAATGGACTAAAGGGGGTTGGGGTTGTGGCTCAGTGGTGGAGCGCTTGCCTGGCATGTGTGAGGCTCTGGGTTCGATTCTCAGCACCGCATATAAATAAATAAAATAAAAGTTTGCCAACGACTAAAAAAATATTAACAACTAAAAAAAGGAGTGAACATTTAAAAATTTCACCTTTAAAAAAAAAAAAAAAAGAAATGGACTAAAGGCTCATTTGTCATTAGTTTTTTAATTAACTTCACATGATGCTGATAAACAGCTTTATGACTTGCTGGTTTTCTTTGGCAGAAAGTCTAGAATATGAATTTGCTTCTCTTTTGCCTGTTAGCAGTTACATTCTGCTGACTTTAAATTGCTTAATCTAAACAGACATTTTCTTTTTTATATTATTCATTTCCTGAGAAGAAATTGAACAAATCTAATTCTTTTCTTCTAAGGAAATGAATTGTCTTCAGGAGTATTGTTTCTTGAGTTGGTGTTACCAATAATCTGACCTTCATTCCCAAGTTATAGTGTGTGTCCTCTGCAATTATTTCAAAAGTTCTCTCTGTTTCAAGGTTGATACTCCCTCTGCAAGCCCAATGGAAACATCTGGATGTGCTCCTGCAGAAGAATATCTGTGTCAGGCTTTCTCTGATGTAATTCTTGCAGTGAGTGATGTGGATGCAGAAGATGGAGTAGATCCAAACCTTTGTAGTGAATATGTAAAGGATATCTATGCTTATCTGAGACAACTTGAGGTCAGTAAAATCACTAGAATCCATTTTTTCTAAACTATATTTAGTTTCATTAAAATTTGGGGGGTTATTGTTGTTTTGTTTGAAATGGGGTCTCATTATGTTTCCCAGGCTGACCTTGAATTCCTGGGTTCAAGTGATACTCCTGCCTCAGCCTCCTGAATAGTTGGGACTACCAGCATGTGCTGCTATACCCAACTATTAAAGATACTTTCTATCAACAGTTTACAGTAATGAAGCAGGACTTTGGCAACATTTTCCTTTTGGCGGGGAGGTTACTGGGAATAGAAGCACAGAGTACACTCCATCTTCTGTTCCTTTTATTTTTTAATTTTGAGACAAGGTCTCACTAGGTTGCCCATGCTGGCCTCAAATTTGTGATCCTCCTGCCTCCGCCTCAATTTCTGGGATTACAGGCAGTGGATTTGTTTTGTTTTAACTAGAGATTGAACCCAGGGACACTGAGCCACATCTGCAACCCTTATTTATTTATTTATATATTTATTTATTTTTGGTACTGGGGATTGAACTCAGGGGCACCTAACCACTGAGCCACATCCCCATTTCTGTTTTGCATTTTATTTAGAGACAGGGTCTCACTGAGTTGCTTAGTGCCTCACTTTTGCTGAGGCTGGCTTTGAACTTGCGATCCTCCTGTCTCAGCCTCCTGAGCCACTGGGATTACAGGCATGCACCACCACGCCTTTTTATTTTGAGATAGGTCTCACTAAGTTGCTTACGATCAGCTTAGTTGCCGAGGCTGGCTTTGAATTTGCATTCCTACAGCCTTACCCTCCCTCTCAAGTCACTGGGATTACAGGCATGCAGCATCATGCCTGGCAGCATTTGGTTTTGTTTTGTTTCTTTTTAGTATTTTTAGTTGTTGATGGACACAACTTTACTTATTAACTTTTATGTAGTGCTCAGGATCGAACCCAGGGCCTCATACATGTGAGGCAAGTGCTCTACCACTGAACCACAACTTCAGCCCTCGTTTTTTTTGTTGTTGGTAAATTTTTTTTTTTTTCGTTGTTGACTGACCCTTTATTTATTTATCTTTAAATTTATATGTGGTGCTGAATCAAACCCAGTGCCTCACGTATGCCAGGCAAGTGTGCTACCACTGAGCCACAGCATCAGCCCTGTTGTTAAAAATTTTTTAAACTTTATTTTAGTTATTTTTATGTGGTGCTGAGGATCAAACCCAGTGTCACACGTTAGGCAAGCGCTCTACCACTGAGCCGAAACCCCAGCCCCCTGGCAGCATTTCTTTCTTTCTTTCTTTCTTTTTTTTTTTTTTGCCTTTATACATGTACTTTGTTGTTGTTTTTTACATTACAATTCATAACTTTGTTTATATATAAAGTATGTTGACACCCAAGTTATTGACATTTTTCTATTATTTCCTAAAATCTCAGTCAGGCTCTGGTTTTTCAGTCTTCAGTGAAAAGATCTGAAATGATGGTATAGTGTCTTTATTTGTGAGGAAGGTGGATACAGAATGTGCGCCAGCAGCAGTGGTAATGAATTGGACATTATAACATCTGACAATGTTAAAAACCTGCCACATTGTTCTAGCTAAGATTTGCTTTCTTCCCCAGTGAAGTTAGTTACCAAATGAATAATTGGACTAAAAACTTAGATTCTAAATAACTCAAAACTATTATATTTAAAAACAAAAAAACTCACCTTTCTGGACATAAATGTCACATGCAGTTGTGCTTCTAAGGATAATCTGCATTTTTTTTTTTTTTTGCAGGAAGAACAGTCAGTGAGACCAAAATACCTACTGGGTCGGGAAGTCACTGGAAACATGAGAGCTATCCTAATTGACTGGCTAATACAGGTTCAAATGAAATTCAGGTTGCTGCAGGAGACCATGTATATGACTGTTTCCATTATTGATCGGTTTATGCAGGTGAGCCTGGTTCAGTAACTGAAGGTTCTCTATTCTAGGGTCTTAGCTTAGTCCTAAGAAACTTATTTTTCAGCTATAATCTGTCTCAGGAGATAAAATGTCATTAGTTAAGATTTTGCTATAGAAGTATGTATCTTTCATAACTTTCTCCTTTTGAAGTACATGTTATTTACCCAGTTGAAATTCTCATTATAGGATAATTGTGTGCCCAAGAAGATGCTGCAGCTGGTTGGTGTCACTGCCATGTTTATTGCAAGCAAATATGAAGAAATGTACCCTCCAGAAATTGGTGACTTTGCTTTTGTGACTAACAACACTTACACTAAGCACCAAATCAGACAGATGGAAATGAAGATTCTAAGAGTTTTAAACTTTGGTCTGGGTCGCCCTCTACCACTGCACTTCCTTCGCAGAGCATCTAAGATTGGAGAGGTACATACTCCTTGAGAAGCCTTCGTTAGGATGTATTAGGGAATACTGCTGCTGGTTATATATTAAATACCTAATGACGTTTGGGAAGGGATATAGATGTTTTTTATTTATAATCAGGTTACATATTAATATTATGAAGCTTTTTATGGGCAATTGCATTTGAGAACTTGTAGACATTTGTAATAAGAAGTTCATTGATAAGTGGGTTTTGTTCTAGGTTGATGTTGAGCAACATACTTTGGCTAAATACCTGATGGAACTAACTATGTTGGACTATGATATGGTGCACTTTCCTCCTTCTCAAATTGCAGCAGGAGCTTTTTGCTTAGCACTGAAAATTCTTGACAATGGTGAATGGGTAAGCTCTATCTCACAGAACTCCAAAGCTTTTAAATTGTAAATGATGTTTGAATACAGAATTTTGTCATTTCCACTGGTTCCTAAATATAGAATCTATAGAAGGAATGCTAAAAATAATTTGTTTATGATGTCATCTTGGTAGAATGCTCTCATTTGTTTACTGAATTTAATCTCCATAAACCCTTTGAGAAAGACATAGTAGCTGTTACCCTTTATATATGTAGAAACTCTGTCAAATGACATAACTGGAAATTCATCCGTAATCATTGATTCAACTAATATTTCTCCCATCGTGTGTCAGGTACTACCCTAAACCTTAGAAATAGAGCTATGAATAAGAAACTCAGCCTCAAGGAACTTGGAATCTAGCTTTGGGGTGGACAACCCAGCAATTACATTAGTGTAATGAGATTTGAGCAGAGGTTTCTACAGAAGCCTGAAAGAGAAACTGGGGAAGAAAGAGGCTCAAACTTGTCTTAAATTTTAATTAAAATTAGTCATATAGTATGTGTCCCCCTACCCCTCTTGACTAACATCTAGAAACTTTATGAAAAGTTGTATAGACATTTGTAATAAGAAGTCCATTGATAAGTGGGTTTTGTTCCAGGTTGAACGTTTTTGACATTTTGTTTTTGTCTTAGACACCAATTCTACAGCATTACCTGTCATATACTGAAGAGTCTCTTCTTCCTGTTATGCAGCACCTGGCTAAGAATATAGTCATGGTGAATCAAGGGCTTACAAAGCATATGGTAAGTCAAATCAATGATGAGATGTTGAGAAAATGAGAATAATTCAGATTTACTGCCTGCAAATTCATAATTTATTTTTAAGGAAATCATGTTAGGTGTTTTGGGTTGCTGCTGTTGTTTTACCTCTGCGCTGTACCTCAGGCCCAAAGCGTTGATTTTTTAAATGAATCCTATACCATTGGATATTGTAAATTTTTGTTTTCCCAGTGTAATTACTGTGCTATTTCTCTTCCAGACTATCAAGAACAAGTATGCTACATCTAAGCATGCAAAGATCAGCACTCTAGCACAGCTGAATTCTGCACTAGTTCAAGATTTAGCTAAGGCTGTGGCAAAGGTGTAACTTGCAAATTTGAGTTGGAATACTATATCTGCAAATAAAATTGGCACCATGTGCCACCTGTACATATTATACTACCTTTACATACTTTTAAATAAAGGTCATGGCCCTTTTTATTTTTCATAGTTTAACTCGTTTTAATGTGGTTGCTTCCTATTCGTGGGTAACCTGAAAGTTGTCTTAAAAGGATGGTGGGGAATATTTTTTAAAACTGCTTTCAGTTTACCAGGGGATCCAAGTGATGCATATAATTGTTGCCTATGTGTTAATATACTTGTTATATATACCTGGTATTTGCTTTTTTATGAGGTGGTAAAAGTATGGGATACCACATGTGGGCCAAATCAGCTTGGAGAATCTTCTGCCTAGTTCTATGTTAAATATAAAAAACTGCCACCTCATCCCTAGTCCTTCTGTTTTATTTATTTATTCTGAGGTTTTCTGCCCTAAGTGATTTACTTTAACCATTATTTTTGAGCTATCAACTTTAATAGTTTTTTTTTTAATGTTTTCACTTTGAAAAATGAGAATTTTAATTTACATTCTAAACCTTGTTTTCATGTTATGTATTTATCATTGTTTATTGGTTTAACAAACAGGATGCTCAAAACATACAGAGTATCTTGTTAAGAAAAAGGTAATCTACCCCTCCCTTCTCAATCCCATCAAAGGTTTGGAATGTATTCTTCCATTCCTTGTATAAATAAAGACAGACATTTAAGTTGTTATAGAGATTTTTTTTTTAATAGGTTTCTTCTATACATAGAAGTTTTCTTCAACTGTATACAGGCCTTCCTGGATTTGTGCATCACATTATGTGGTAAGGATGTACTGCAGTGTATTCAGCTATTGTCCTGTGAGAGTATGCATTTTAAGTTGTGACAGGCAGAGCCAGATACTTTCTTGGTATCATGCAAATGTGCTGGTTTTCTTTGCCTCATTGTTAGAATTGAAGGTCTTCAACTGGCAAAAAAATATATATATTATTTGTTATTTTAATTGAATTTCTGATGGCAAGTTGAATAAATTGTCTTATCAATGTGGAAGGCTTTCTGAGCTTCTCATTTGCCTTATGCTGTCTTGCCATGCAGGAAGTTTTCACATAACCAAATCTGGTTTTTGTTTGTTTGTTTGTTTGTTTTTGTGTGTGTGTGTGGGGGGGGTTGCTTCTGAAGTCTTAAGGTCAAGATCATTCCCAAACCATGAACAATTTCTAAAGCTAATTTTTCTCATTTAGGTCTATACTTTAGTAAACCATTTATTAATTTATTTTCAGTGCCAGGGATTGAACTCAGGGGTGTTCTGTCACTGAGCTTCATCGTTAGCTCTTTTATAAATTTAGACAGGGTCTCACTGAGGGTCTCAGGAGACTGAGACAGGAGAATTATGAGTTTGAAGCCAGCCTCAGCAATAGCAAGGCACTGAGCAACTCAGACCCTGTTTTTAAATAAAATGAAAAATAGTGTTGGGGATGTGGCTCAGTGGTCAAGTGGCACATGCCTGTAATCCCAGAGACTCAAGAAGTCAAGACAGGAGGATTCCAACTGTGAAGCCAGCCTCAGCAACTTAATGAGTCCCTGTCTCAAAAACTAAAAATGGATGGGAATGTAGTATAGTGGTAATGCCACCCTAGGTTAGATTCTAAGTACCAAAAAATAAAGTAGGTTGGAAGTAATAATCCAGTTCTTACATATCATTAATTATTATAATTATTAATCATTATATATTATATACCAGTTATAGGTATTCTACAACTGGGACAATGGAGCTAAATGGGTTGCGCCATGATCCATTCCCTAGGTGATTGTTTAAGTTCCATCCCAAATCAGCAACCAAAACTTAACCTGAGAACTTGTAGAAATGCAAATCATAGTACTAGAAGCATCCCTCCCCATAATCTGATGCATTCTCTGGTTGAAGAACCATTGCATGATTTTTGTTCCAAATCTAGCCAGTGGATAACCTGATGGGCAACTAACTGCTTGCAAAAAGGGGATTTGAGATGAAATATCGGAAGGCAGTTTGGATAAATGGTTAAGTGAAAAAAGAATAATAGGATCACTAATTTTTATTTGTATTTATTTTGTTTTTGTTTTTGTCCTGGGACTTGAACCCAGAAGCACTCTACCACTTAGCAACATTCATAATTCTTTTGTTTCTTGTAATACAAGATCTTGCTAAATTTCCTAGGCTGGCTTCAGGCAGATTCTCCTGCCTCAGGCTCCCAAATATCTGGGATTACATCCTGTAGGATCACATTTTTATAAAACAAAGTTAATTAAAGGAAACAGAATGTTCCATGAGTTTGGGGGTAGGATTAGCAAGCCTAATGCCTTCTTTTACATCCTACTATGCCTTTTTTTTTTAATGTGGTGCTGAGGATCAAACCCAGCACCCCGCTCATGCCAGACGAGCGAGCTACTGCTTGAGCCACATCCCCAGCCCCCTATTACGCATTTTGAATTTTCAGTTCAAAAGCCAAGGAAATTAATACCAGGAGCTTTATTAGATATAGGAGGGAAAGTACTGTGTGGTCAAGTTTAACTGGGAACTGCTGTAGCTATAAGAATTCTCAACTCTTTTTTCGCTTTCCACATATTTTATTGGTGCATTATTGTTGTACACAGTGATGGAATGTGTTGTTACATATTCGTACATAAACGCAATTTATATAACAATATAAATAAGCCAATACCTACCATTCCTCAGCACTTCCCCCTGCCATTCTGAGTGGTGAGAGATGAAATCTCAATGTAGTTTTGATTTGTTTTTTTCCCAATTGTTAATGATGTTGAACATTTTTTTAATATCTGGCCCCCTTTTCGAAGAGGTTTTGTGCTTTTGCATCAGGGACAAATGTGCCTTACACGACTACAGTGAAAAACTACAAATCATTTATGTATGGCCAGCATTTTCTTCAGCTTCATGGCTCAACTGTAACCTGCCCGGTCACAGAGCAGACACTTGGGGGCACCCAATTATCAGGAGTGGTGGGAATCCTACTTGATAGCACAATGAAGTACCCATGCAAGGAATTGAAAGTGCAAGTGGCCACACTGAAAGTCTGGGGTTCATATGCCTGCAGTGCTTTGTACTTGGGGGGGTTTGGGTAACCTTAAAACTTGAACTACTCATTTCTCTGGTAAACGAGGGGTATGCACCTCACGGCCTCAGATTTAAATCCTTCTAGGGGAATGGAATGCCGGTCAGTGGTTCAGCCTGGTCTCACATGCCTAGGCCTTAGGTTCGATTCCTGAGCACGATAAAAAAAAAAAATTCAAAGCACTCTCCAAAGTTTATCTTTCCCATCCTGCTGGCCAGTTTTTCAATTCTACTGACTAGCAGTGCCGAGGTGGAGCAATGAAGAGTTATCCCCATTCCTATGTCACAGAGTCAAAGCTGACTGACCATTTAGTCGGGTATTCTTTTCCCCGCTTCCATACTGCTGCTGTTCTAGGACATTGTTGATGCTAAATTCAAGTTCTTCGATTTTTTTTTTTTTCTTTTGCGGTGCTGGAGATAGAACCAGGGTCTCGCGCACAAGAGACAAGCTCTACCACTGAGTCACACCACCAGCCCAGTTCTTTGAACTTGTGGCTCCTGGTTCATAGCGAGCTCAACTGACTGGACCAGCAGGAAATCTAAGTATACAGTAATCTCAGCAACCGGAGGGCGGGAGGGGGTGTGGCCCTGGGGCGGAAGAGGCGGGGCTCAAGGCTCCTTCCGGGTATCGAATTCGTGGCGGGAAAAGCGGCCCCTTCAGAACCGCATTACTTCTCCAACGGTGTCTTCGTGTCGGCAATGGAGCGGCAATTCCAAGAGCAAACTGCCGCAGAGTCGGCGGACTCCGGAGGGGCAGGCGGGCTGCCGCAGGTCGCCGGCGCCCAGGAGGCACGCAGCGACGACCGAATGACCCTGCTGCTCAGGTTGTTCCCTCCCGCCGCCTCCTCGGAGCCGAGTGGGCGCCCGGGCTCAGGGCTCCTCTCCTTTCTCCTCTGTAAGACCAGGGTTCGAAATTGGACGCGGTCACTTAATGGCTTCGTTACTCAATGCAATATTCACTTAAACTCTTTAGTGTCTTTCTTCTGCGAAAAGTAGAGAAATTGACACCCTCCTGGGAGAGATGCTAAGGGTGTTTAATTGAGACCCTCTGGAAGTGTTCAGCCCAGAGTCCTTAGGAAGCTCCTTCGGAGCTGCAACTTTCCCCACCCTTTCTCCCAGCTCACGCCCTGGGGCTCCCAATTTTTCTGGCAAGATGAGGGACAGGGGCTGGGGATGTAGCTCAAGCGGCAGCGCACTCGCCTGGCATGCGCGGGGCGCTGGGTTCGATCCTCAGCACCACATAAAAATAAAATAAAGATGTTGTGTCCACCGAAAAACTAAAAAATAAATATTAAAAACTAACTCTCTCTCTCTCTCTCTCTCTCTCTCTCTCTCTCTCTCTCTCTCTCTTTGGAAAAAAAAAAAGATGAGGGACACACCCAGGCCAAATACAGGAAAGAAGATGTCCCACCCCTTTTCAAAAAAATTGTTTTTGTTGCTGCATTATAATTATATGTACTACTGGGATTCATTGTAACATATTCATACATGCACATAACATAATTTGATAAATTTTAACTTTTTAAAATATTTTTAGTTGTAGATGCACACTTTATTTTGTTTATTTTTATGTGGTGCTGAGTGAGGATCAAACCCAGTGCCTCACATAAGCTAGGCAAGCACTCTACCACTGAGCTACAGCCCCAGCCCCATCTTAACTTCTTTTAGATGAGTACCTAATAGATGGTAAACACTTGATAAATTTTGACCACGATGCTTCTAGTCTGGAGAGGTCTCCCCGAGTTCTGGTAGTGCACATGTGGATCCTTCCATTGTCCCTCCCAGTCTGCTTTTTTTGGCTTCTGGGAATGTGGGCCCAGGCCTTGTCCTGGATCTTCCGGATGTCACTGAAACCTGAGGTGCCCTAGCCATCCAGAGGCACCTCCCTGGGACTTTAAGGCCCCACCCAAGAGCCAGTAGCAGCTGCTGTCTGATGTCCTCTCTGAGAGTTCCAGTGGTCAGCTAGGGAGACTCCCAGCATGCTGGATGCCAAGAGGCTGCAGCTGTAGGCGATGTTGCCCCCAAAAAG